ATAGAGTAAGAGATAAATTTATACGTATAACTGCTATAAAGAAAATTGGAAACTTCTTTCTTTCTTTCTTTCTTTCTTTCTTTCTTTCTTTCTTTCTTTCTTTCTTTCTTTCTTTCTTTTCTCTGCATTTTTGGCTTTGTCTTTTTTTCTTCCTTTTCTTCTTTCTTTTATTTATTCTAAATATTAGTTTCTGTTAGTTTCTATCTTTTTTTAATTAAAATCTTAATAAAGTTATACGGGAAAAAAAGTCATCCAGTTCTAAAACTCAGGATGAATGAAGAATAGTACTGGGAATAAGCTCAGATTTTAAAGGAAGATTTTTCACTAAGGGAGAAATGCTGATACAGAAAATAATAATCAGTGCTAAACTTCTCCTATTCTCTGGCAGCTAGCTCAACCTATTGCATATGCTAGTTTTCTCTTTCTCTTTTCTCTAGAGCCTAGAAATTGCAATGACAGGTTCAGTAGTTAACTAAATAATAATCAGCATCAGATGCCTTAAGATATGAAATCAGATTAGGCTATAAAACAAAAGGAAATCTAGAGAAAATCAAATTATCGTATTCATGGTGGCCTATTTAAATTCGAATTGATCTTTGAATGTGATTTTATTGTATCAGTTTCAGAAATTTAAGAGTGTGCTGTATTACAGTCTGCACTATTTATGACTTCTCAAGGAAACACTCATTTGGAGAGCTCTTAACAAAGGCCAGGGACTTGAGGCTATGATGTAATTGAATTTGTTTATAGAACTTTCTGACCGTAATTTCTTTTGGCTGCACACACTTCATTGGGATTAAACTCCTTTCAACTCAGTTGAACTGATTTTCAAATACACAAGTATTGGATCATGCTATTAGAGTGCCCTGATTCCCTTTTGGAGGAATTCATGGAAGCTCAAGTGATTACTTGTCACTTTTTCAGGCCATTACAGAAGCGAGCATTATATTTTCCTATAAATCTTATTTATGGTGCTGGAAGAGAGATGGGATACAAAACAAATGAACAAATAAGCAAGCAATAAACAGGGACTCCCTGGGCATAGGCCATCTCTATACCAGGTTTTCATGCTGTCCAGGGCTTGCTTGCCAGTTCATTTGATCCGTAAAAGTGGTATGCTAAGGCCAATGGAATGCTAAGATCCAGGCCAGATACTTGCCTTTAATATCTGGATAGAGGCCAAGAATCCAGGAAAGATAGTAATGCTGAAGAGGAATACGCCTCAGCAACTAATCTCCTTGGGAGCCTCCGCCCCAAGGTATATAACTGCAATCTGATGTTGTAACCTTGGTGTTCCCAGGAGCAGAACGACCAGGGTGCCTATTAACACTATAAGATCATTTTACAGGGAATAATCAATTCCATTAATTCATCCACATTCATCTGTGTTCGGGTGGAATACATGATCACAGGAATTGCCCCCACTCTCATGGACTTCAAGAAAGGGGTGAAATCCTGGCTGTGCCAGAAGGCCTGGGGGCCAGGTGGGGGCTCGCACCAGTGGAGGTGGCTTATGGGGTGATTGACCTTGCTCCCCCCCGGTCATCTTGAATGTTTTTAGTATTTATGTACAGGGTTCGTTGTTCAGATCTGATTTTTAATGGATTATTTATTTAAATATTTATGTGGGGATTTTTAACTATTGATGGGGTTTCTGATTTTAATTGTGAACCGCCCAGAGTCACCCGTTGGGCAGAGATGGGCGGCATACAAATTTAACGATAGATAGATAGATAGATAGATAGATAGATAGATAGATAGATAGACAGACAGACAGACAGACAGACAGACAATGTAATTTTGTGCAAATATGGTGCCCCCATTATCAAAGGGCACAAAAAGCATGAATAAAATGCCTGAACTGAATGCCCGTGTTTTTTTAGAAGCTGCAACTTCATAGAACTTACCCTGGGATCCTTCTGGAGGAGGGTATGTGGAACAGCTCCAGGTCTTGTTGCAACATCAATAGGATTTGAAGTCTGCAAACATCACAGATACAAAAATAATAGTTGCATACCAGCATACACAAAGAATGTGTGTGAATGATTCTATCTAAAACATTGGCCAACCTTTCTGGCCTTTCATTTTCAAATTAATTTTGGCTTTTTCTGATGCCTGACATAGTTCTCCCCTTCCATACCACTGTTATCTACATTTTAGTTCCAGATTTTTAAATTTAATTTTATTATGATAATATACCCACAAATAGAAAAATACAAAGCAGTATCTATAAAAATATCAAAAGGAAAAGAAAATGAAAAAGCAAGCATGTGCACATCCATTAAAAAATCACATAACTTACAATAGAGACATAATGGCAACTCTAAGCAACCAATGAAACTTTGCCCATATAGAATCCTATTGATCAGTCTTTCTATTTTGTGAATAAAGAGCCAATTCAAAGGCTGAAAGTGAGCATATATCTTTAGTTCAAGATTTTATATTCAGATTAGCAGCTTTCCCGCCAAGCAAAACCATCTGTTTAGCTACAAGAGTACTAAAGCAGGCAGGATCAATACCCAAAGTTGGTGTGATTTCTTTTGAAAGGTTCTTAACTGAGAGCTCCAGAAAAACATTAATTTGCCCCTTCCAACCCCTCAACCTCACAAAGGGGGGGGGGGGGGGGGGGG